CTTCATGTCCCTTTGGCACCCACCCAATGGCAGTTTACACCCAGAGCTAGTCAGAGCAAGTCTAATTTCAGGGAAGCAAATCTAATTTCAGGGAAGCAAATGAGAGTAGTAAGACCCCGTGCTTCTGTGTTGATGTGACTGAGCAAGGTGACAACTCTCCTTGGTCAAAAAAAAAAAAAAAAAAAAAGAACATGAAGACAGTGCCTCTCCCTGAGGGTGGGAACAGGGGCACACGGTCATGCTCATGAGCCCACTCTTCTGCTTGGCAGCCCTTCGACTACTGGAAAGCTTCTGTGTTCTTCCTTCAAACTTTCTCTCATCCACGCAAACATCCACAACTTCTTTGTCTTTTAGGGTGTTTTCAGGACCTTTTACCATCTAGAATTTGTTTCAGCTTTTCATTGTGGCTTCATCTGTTCCTTTATTTCTAGTTTCTAATATCACCCATGTTAGTTTAGGGGCAAACCATGCCAGAAGCATCTGCCTTGTGAGCCAGGAGGGTGACACAGAGGAGATCCCTCCCAGAAAGGCCTTCCCTTGAGCATGATACCACCTGTACCCTAAACTCAGCCCACCACATCGGGGGATGGTACCCACCCTGCCCAGCCAGCACCCACCCTGCCCAGCCAGCATATGGAGAATCCTCATGAAGCTTGGCTCCCTCCAACCACCTGTCCTCGTGCTGGCTAAAGACATGCTGGCTAAGGACATGCAGACAAGACTGGGTAGTGCTGGGTGTGGCTCTTCCAAGTTACCAGCTTGTCTCGGTCAGCTCAACTGCTGCTAACAGAACACCACAGACTGGGGGCTTAAACACCAGCATTCACTTCTCATGGTCAGGGACTGAGAAGTCCAAGATCAAGGTGCTGGCAAATTCAGTGTCTGATGAGAATCGCTTCCTGGTTCATAAATGACCGGCTTCCTCCTGTGAGGATGAAAGGGGTGAGGGAACTCTCTGGGGTCTCTTTATAATGGCACTATTTCCAGTGATAAAGGGTCCCTCCTCATGACCTAATCACCCAAAGGCCCCCACCTCCTAATACCATCACATTGAAGGTTAGGATTTCAATGTACAAATTCGGGAAATACAAATGCACAGTCCACAACAGCTTCCCTACTTGGCAACCCTACTGGCCACAGACAGTCTGAATTCCTTACTAATCCTGAGAAATCATCTCTCCCCCTTGTAAAACTCCCCAGTGCAGGCACACAGCTGAGGCTCTGCTATTTCTCACGAGCCCTGCCCATGTCTTCAAGAACAGGATGCTTTCCTGAGATGACTCATGTCAGCGCTGAAGGCCAGGTCCAAGCTCACAGCCCTCTTGACGGTAAATTCTCCAAACACCACTCTGGAAGCTACTCTCAGCATGGGTCTCCCCACACCCAGCGCTCTCCACCCCTCTCGACCACCCAGATGCACCTTCTGACCTAGCCAACAAGTGCTACCTCCTCTATTGCTCCCCAGGCAGGAAGAGTGGGCTCACACAGATGCCTGCCATCACACACTGCTGGGCTCCCCTCTCCCCAATTCAGCCTGACACCCTCCTATCACTGTCAGGGTGCTGCATGGGGCAAATAACACAACACCCAAGGCAAAGCAGCTTAAAAACAACACGTATTTATTACTTCACTTAACAAAATGTCTTGAAGTGGAAGGCTCCAAGTCAGTTCAGCAACTCAACGGCATCGTCAAAGATTCAAGAGTCTTTCCATCTTTCTGCTCCTCCAGCCTCAGAACCTTGGCTTCATCTTTAGTGGCTGCTAAAAGTTCAGGTGTTACTACCCTATGCAGCCTGTCCAGAGATAGAAGGATGCTCATTCCTCAAGCATCTCCTTCTATCAGCAACAAACCCTTTCCCAAAGCTCCCAGCATATGTCCCTCAAACCTCACCGGCAGGAACTGGGTCACATACCTACCACTCACTCTGATGCCCAAGAGATGGGACCAAACAACCAGCAGGACCCATCGTCCCTGAACACACTGATGCCTGACACCTGAAAAATTAGGGATTCTGTTACTGAGGAAGAGAGGCGATGACTGTTGGGTAAGAGAGAGCAGTGTGATGTCCTCTGCTCCAGCACAGGCGGCCTGGGTCAGAGGCCTGCAGACTTGGCCACCATGACTCAGATGACACCACATCTTAAAGAAGAGCTAGGTACACACTGTGGCCCCAATAGATGAAACACACACCACACGACCAAGCCATGTGCTTCCTGTTTGCCTGACAGACGTAAGCAGACTCCTGTAGTATACACTGCAATGACTTAGAGGTCTTCCCTGGAATGCACTAAGCCAGGCCCAAGCTAGAAAGTTCAGGTTGTGGCATGAGCTTAGAAGACTCCTGGACGTGAGAAGACTTATTTCTTTACAGCAGGTCTCTCGTACATTTGGCCACCAGGGAAAGTACTTTGGCAGAGGGGTAGTACCTGGATATGTGGTGTAACTGTCAGGAATCTTGCATTTTTTTCTATTCTGTTTGGTTATAACTTATCATGGTATATGCCAGTCACTCAGCAATGGAAAACACGGTATACATAGAAGAGAGTCTCATTCCTTAAATCTTTTAAACTTGGGTTCACGTGCACATGTGGGGCTAAGCATTTCAAGAAATCTGAATGCCAGACTGACTGAGGGTCTCGTGAGACACACCTGGCACACCGAGGGTGTGATCCTAAGGCCATGCTTTTGGAGAAAGACACATTCAGATGGAAATGAGCTCAAGTCATTGACCTGAGTGTTGGTGGACCCTGCAGGTCTCTGTTCACAATGGCTTCTGTCAGGCTGTTTCATCCCTAAGCGATATTTCTATTTTTGTTTGTTTTTTAACTTCAAATTTTACCAGATTAGTACTTATCCCTGATTTCAATCTGCACAGACATTTTTTAACCCTATCTTTGACATCAAATATGGTACCTGTCATTCCCTACCTGTGCCATGTGCAAATTTGATCAATGTCCTTAATCTAGTAACTGGTAAAAATTCAAACTAGCCAGTCAGGGAAGCCACAATAAACTCTACAGGAAAAACTTTATAAAATAGTTCTTACTGAAAGGTACAATTTTAAGAAACAGTTAAAGATCTTGCAGATTCCATGAATCACAATACTTCTATGAAATGGTCTGTTTTACTCTGAGGTTGCAGGATCAAGCGTCATCTAATTTGGAGGAAGCTGAAGAAGAAATCCCCAAAGTGGCAAATTATACATGACTCTGCATATAACCTGATGCCTCTACAAATCCACCAGGAGTACGTCTCCCTCTGCCCACCACACCATCCTGGTGATGAGCTACAATGGGTCCCTCTCCAAGCGTGCCCAGCCAAGTAATAGGGCTGGCCAGAGCAGAGGTGACAGTGAGGGGCAGTCACCAAAGCTACACACCATGGCAGAGAATTCATTCTTCATTAGCATATCAGGGCATAGTGGGAAAGGGAGAGATGGTGGCAGCCAAAACCCTGACAGACATCCGCAACATCCCATCCCCTCACCCACAACACACACAGCTGCTCTCTATGCTATCACAGTTATTTCTTTCCAAGAACTTCACACATACTAACATTCACTCACCTATTTCTGTGTCTCACCACTTCCAGAAAATGAATTCCATAAGATTAGGGCCCTTGCCCGTCCATTCACCAGAATCAGAAAAGCTCATTACACAGCAGACACTCAATAAGTATTGCTGAATGAATTAACGAGTCCCAGTTGCTTCTCATTTAAATAAAAATTATCAAATTGATGACATTTTTATCAGTTCAGTAAAAGACACAAACCATCTCACTTTATCGGATCTCTAAGACAATCTGGTATTTACGTTACAAGTTGTATGGCTGGGAGTTCAATTCTTTTCTGTAATAAGCAGAGATTAGCTGAGCCACCATTCAATATTAATTTTTCAGATATATGAAGCCTGTCTGCTCAAATTCAAAGGTTTTCCTTAACTTGTCTTTATCTAAATCAGTCAAGTCTCTTCTCATAAATGAGAAATATTAAATAAATGGCTGCTTTCATGAAATAAAGAAGTGACTAGCAGAAATAATCTGCAACTTCAGTGAATAAGATTTTCATTAGCATCTAAATTAATAATAAATACTATTTACAGACCAAAGACTATAAACCATGAGTTTTACAAATGGGTCCCCTGTTCAATACATCATTATCCCAATGACAGGGACACTCAGAAAACCAAGGCTCTGAGAGCTTAAGCCACTGTCCAGGGCCTCCTGAGGAGGGTCCAGCAAGAATCCAAACCCAGGTCCAGCTTACTCTGAAGCTAATGATCATTTATTTTACTATTAAATCACTGTCAACCACTCCACTGCGTCATGTATCTTCTCTGAATACCCTATTTCATCAAACCTGAGATTCTATCAACAGCAACCGATTACGTACAACGCTGCCCATTACAGCTATAAAACACAATCAGTTGAAAGGAACCTCACAATTTCAGAAATGCTAAAATATGCATATACACACATACACATCTTAGATTCAATAAAATACAGTAATCTACTAGCCTAGGAACAAAATATTCCTAATAAATGTTATAAAATATAAATGCTTCTCTAAATCCCTTAGAAAATTAATTTTTGTCATGATGTACAGAGAAGAAAGAGATAAATCTTAAGTATGAATCAAGTTATAGGAAACTGCAAACACTAATACATACCTCTTTAAAATTGTTTCTTCTCATCTGTGGCCTTAAATCACATTCTTTACCATGTGAACAGCTGTCAACACCTTCCCCACCCACCAAAATCCATCACTGACACATATTTTCATATATCCAAGTGCATGAAAAGCTGTAAGCACATTTTTTAGAATATACCTTGAAAGGGGACTTTAAATCTACCTGACGTTCTTGTTTGTTTTCTCCAAAAATTAAGACAAATAACAGAAATTTCTCATGCCATGCCAAACAAAAATATATTCTTTGCTAAACACACAACTAGAGGTTTCTATAAAATCAAAGACCACCAACACTACAGCAAAAGACTCTCAATAAATTTTATATTCGAATGACTGACGGGAAATACATGGACCTTCAGGGCCTCTTTTCACTCCCTCTGAAAGTGCTCATGTTGTAAGCCCACACAGTGTCTATCCCCTCTCCGGTGACCTGGTCCGGGATCCAGTGCGGAAAAGGGAACCGGCAAGCAATGACTCTAGCGTCGTCCTCAAGTTCAAGCTCAAGTTTCTTCTCCAACTGCGGCATCTGTGGAAAATGACAGTCACTATTTCAGCAACAAGTCACAAGAAATGATTCTCAAATGTCCTTCTGTATTTGAGTCCCTGAAAATACCTGTGCAAAAACTGCTCATTGTGAAAAAGATCACTTCTGGGCAGAAGTACATTATCAAACAATCCATCAAAATACAGAAGTCACATTGACAACAATTATAAGAACATCTAGTATCAATGATGAAATATGCCCTTTTTTAGCAAATGTGTATCACAGATTTCTTGTTTTCTAACTGAAATTATGATGTGGCAATAATTAAAATGAGAAGCAGATTTAAATTATTTACCTACCTAAACATTTCAATCTACTCTGTCTCAACTATTTAATGTATTTTTCCACATTTTAACATCTTACCATTGACATTGTCTTAGAATTATAATTGACAATATTTTTTCTTTCTCAATAGCAAAGACACAGCTAAAATCAATAGCATCTAGATTCAATGAAATATAGAATAAGACTATAAAAAAATACACATTCGCCCTGGCTGGTTTGGCTCAGTGGTTAGAGCGTTAGCCTGCGGTCCGGAGAGACCCGGGTTCAGTTCCCGCTAAGGACATGTAACTTGGTTGCAGTTTGTCCCCGGCCCTGGTTGGGTCGTGCGGGTGGCAACCACTCGATGTGTCCCTTTCACGTCGATGTTTCTCTCTCTCTCTCTCTCCCTCCCACTCTATCTGAACAAAAAATGGAAAAATGTCCTCGGGTGAGGATTAAAACAAAAAAAACAAAACAAAACAAACAAAAAAAATACACATTCTACCAACTTGAAATATAACAAAATATTTCATACTTTTAAAATATATATCAATAAATACCAATAATCTATTTCTTGCCAGTCGACATAACTTATATAAACAGTAAAATCCTCTTATTTATCACTTTTGTATCATTTTATTGCCATTCTTCCTGTGGAGAAAACATTTCATTGTTTGCTAAAAATATTGACATTATAATTACATCAGCAAATTAATAATCAATTAAAACTTATCTTCAGGTCCTAAAAATGTATTACCATGTCCACCTCCTAAGAATATTTTTTCCATTCTCTCCTTTTAATTTATTTTGAAACAATTTCAAACTTACAGAAAAGTTGCAAGAAAAGTTTGTCATATTTGCTTTATCTGATTTGCCCTCTTCCCCTCTCTATGAACATGTTTTTTCATTGGAGAATAGGTTGCATGCTCCTTTATTCCTTCACATTTCAGCATTTTATAAGAAAATATTTTCCAAGAAATAACCCCAGCATAGTTACCCCATTCAGAAAATTTTGCATTATATTCCAATAAAATAATTCTAATGTAACATTTCAATTAGTCAAATGTCTTAATAATAAATGTTCTTTATAACATTTTTCCCCCATCTAGGATTCCATATTGCCTTTAGCTGTAATGTTTCCTTGGTCTTATTTATTTATTTATTTATTTATTTTTTTATCCTCACCCGAGGACATTTTTCCATTTTTTTGTACAGGTAGAGTGGGAGGGAGAGAGAGGAAGAGAGAGAGAGAGAGAAACATCGATGTGAAAGGGACACATCGAGTGGCTGCCACCCGCACGACCAACCAGGGCCGGGGATAAACTGCAACCGAGGTACATGCCCTTAGCGGGAACCGAACCCGGGTCTCTCCGGACCGCAGGCCAACGCTCTAACTGCTGAGCCAAACTGGCCAGGGCCCTTGGTCTCTTTTAATCTGGAACAGGTCTTCCATCTTTCTTTGCCTCTCATGACAATAACATCCTTTACAATATGACCCAGTTATTTTTCCAAACAGCCCTCACTGGGGTTCCCCTGCTGTTTGCTTGTGATGACTCAGCATGTGAGTCCTTGGCAATGACCATCACTGGGTCCATGAACATCTCAGGGCCCCACAGTTAGACACCCATCGGTCCTCCTGCTTTGAGGGTGATGGTCACCACTCAGCTGAGGTGGTATCTGGTGTCTCCACAGTGTGGTCACTGTTCTTCTTTATAATGAATAATTTGTAGGGGAATACCTTGACAAGATGTACATATCCTATTACTCATCAAGCTGTCCTATAATGGCTGCAAAGTGTGGATTTGCTAATCCCATCATTCCTCCTAGATGGCATTCTACTTTCTAGTACAAGAAATGGCTTTCCCTTCTCTCTTTCTACCTAGGTACTATCACTATAGGATGAACTCCTAGATTATTTCATTCAATGGGTGATAATGCAGTACTGTCTCATTTATTCTAATGCTCAAATGGTCCCAGTTTGGTCCCTGGGAGCCTCTTCAAGCAGGCTTTTCTTTCCTTTGCCCCTATCAAATATTTTGAGCACTTCCTTATATTCCGGCTCAACAAAATGCCCCAGGTTTTTGTATCTTCCCTTCCTCAGCCCTGGGATAAGCCATTTCTCAAATATTCCTGGTTCCTCTGAGTGGGAAACGGTATTTAGAAACCAAGTACCAAAGTAAATTGAGACAAACAAATCGACAATACTTCTATGAAGATTTTATACCTTTTATACCTTTAAAAAGTGGCTTGGGGATGGGGGGCAGAAAGAGACAAACCGAAGAACTTATATGCATATATGTATAACCAACAGACACAGATAATACTGCGGTGAAGGCAGGGTCTGGACAGGAGCGGGGAAGAGGGGTCCAATGGGGAGGAAAATGGGGGGACATCGGTAATACTTTCAATAATAATGATAATTTTTTTTAATGTGGCTTGGAAAAACTCCTCTACATGACCTATAGCTACAGTGAGCCAGAATTCTGATTCTTCATTAGCATTAATACCAAGATAACAAAGAGTAAATTCCATTAAGGATGGAATATATCTAGTCTTTTAACTGCCAGGAAAAAATGAGGTTTTGTGTTTTGTTTTGTTTTATTTTTTTTAATGTTTTGTTCCTTGAGGGAAAAATTAAATAAGCAAAGAATGTTCTTCCAAAATATCAGGGGTTTCTTATGGTAATTTTGTTCATAAAAAGGATAATTGTAAGTGTACTCATATTATCATTATTCTTTTCTCTTTTATACTTTCTTTTATTTTCAAATGACTGTCATATGCTAAGTCAAGATAAACCCAAAAATGAAAGGAGTGATTGCAATCATAAGAAATTAACTGACTACATTACACATAAATATGCAACAAATCTAGGTCTTGATATCACACACAAAGAGAAGCAGTGATATGTCATGTATGTCTAATGGAATTCAAACTTATTCATACAATTACAGGTTTCAAAGTGATACAAACTCATCATAGTCTAATTACATCTTCAAAACTTTAAACATATGTTGCAACCAGCTCAAAGGTCTATCAGACAAATTAGCCATGGCCATGGGCAGCCTTGAGCGCCTTCATCACCCCCTCTTCCCTGAGGCACTGGTTTCACTTGGCTTCTAATTAACAGCCCCACCCCTACTTTCATCCTCCCCAACTCCTCTCTGCAATCCTTTGCTGAGTGCCCCTCAGCTGTCAGAGGCCAGGGCTCAGGCCTTGAATGGCTCTGCCCCTTCACTGAGTGATCTCAACCACCCCTCTGCTTCAACTCCTTCTGGGTGCTAATGCCTAAACACCAGATCTCCAGCCCTCTCTCCTGGGGCCCAGATGCCTCCATCCACCACTACCAACCTGACATTCCCCACAGACATCTCAAAGGTCACCGGAATTCCTGATCTTCTCCCAAGCTGCTCCGCCTATACCTTTCCCAGCTCACTAACAGCAACTCACAGTATTTCCAGTTGCTCAGACCAAAAACCTGGGAGTCACCCCTGACTGCTCTCTTTCTCTTGCCCCAGGGCAGCCTGTGCTCCTTTTCAGCCCCAGTCCATTCTGTTCCTCCACTCCTCTGCTCAAACCCCGATGGCTCCCGCCTTTCAAGGGCCCAGGGTCCTTCACGTCCCAGCCCTATTTTCTCTCTGGCCTCACCTCCTCACTCACCCTGCCCCTACCACACCCACCTCCCTGCAGCCCTGGAACCCAGCAGGCACCACGCTCCAGTACTTTCAAAGTAGCTGTTCCTGTCTGGAGTGCTGTTCTCCCCTTCCCAGCACAGACCCACTGCCCCCTCCCTGATTTCCACGTCCCGTTTTCAGGGACACACAGTGGAACCCAGGGACCAAGAGGAAAACGAGGGCTGGACACAGGCAGCTGAGGGTAGCAGGGGCCAATCCATGCCAGGCCTCAGGGAGGGTGTAGGCCTTATCCTCACTGCTTTTAAGCAATAAGAAGACACAGAAGGGTTTTAAACAAGGATACAAATGATCTGTTCTACATTTTAAAGATGCTCTTAGTAGAAAAGCTAGTCTTAAATGTGGGTATTTACAATCCTACTACAGGACTGACTAGGTCCAATAATTCCTTGTTCCTGTATGTTATATACACACCAGTGTTGAAATGTTAGGACACCTCTAATTTCGAGCTACAACTGCAAAGAGCTGTTAGGAATAATCAGTCCACTGTCAGAAGCAGGGTGAGGATTTAGAACACTAGGGTTTCTACCTCTGAAGTTCCTTAAGGGTCCTCCTGGCTCTCTCATGACCTATGTGTGCTTCAGCTGCCCCAGGAAACATTTCATACCGCACTGGCTTTGTCAGGCCACCTAGGCATGACCAGACTACCAACTCGTGCTCAGGGAAGGGAAATATATTTTAACAGAAGAGTGAATGATGAAGTCCAGACAGATAAAAAGGACTTTTCAGGACTCACACGACTTACCTCACTGAGGGCAGACCAGGCCCCTGGCTCCCTAGCCAGTACTTCCCCTCCCACTGACATCCTCACATAGGCAAAGCTTGATAAGGGCGGAAAGCGGGAAGCCCTCCACATGTGAAATTGGGGCTCCAGACCTACAGAAGCCACCTGGGTCCTCTGCACCTGTGATCGATCCACCTTCATGGAATACTGCAAGGTAGCTGAATCCCTGCCATTCCAGGGAACGGGGTGCTTCCTGCATTTCAGCTGCTCCACTTTTTCTTGGGAATAGTGAAATACTACAGGTTCCTTATTTAAGAATTTCTCTACGCACAGAAGAATAAACAACAATTGCAAAAGCATTAATCAAAATAATAGGACTCTTATTTCCCCTGAGTGAACAGCTCCAAAATCAGACTGTACTTGACATAAGAGGACAAGGAGCTGGAGCACACAGATTATGCAGCAGCAGCGGCTACCAAAGGCCACTGCTGCCCCCCGCTGGGACACAGAGGCTGTGGCTTCATAAACCCACACCTCAGGCCATCATCCGGCCTCTCAACACTACATGGAAGTCCCAGTAACTATCAACTTTCTATTTTAAGAAAGCATGGATTTCAAATTAAAGTTGTTTGCCCCCAAATGCTAATTATTCTGAAGGACTATCTAAACATCGTAACTAACAAATAACCATCAAATTCCATAGCAATTCTATGGTCCTAAAGAGTTTTGTTTTGAATGACCAAGGATCACGCCCTTCTACCTCTTTTAATTTCTGTAACAAAAGTGTAGACACCCAGGTTTCAGCTTAATTTTAGGCTTGCCGAAAATTACAAACATACAGAATCCAATCACTTTCAAGACTATGTAACAAAACACTTCTAACTCGACTTCAAAAAAAGCAGAAGAAAATGGCATTGCACAGAAGGCTCTAGTGATAAGAGTAAGTTTCTCAAGCATTAGAAGTTCCTGTATGAAAATTAAGATAAGAATAAGAAAACAAAACAACAAAAAAGTATATTTCTTTTTTTTTTCCATTGAAAACCATATCAATTTTATAGTGGCACTTCAGCAAACATCCAATTTCACCAAGATTATTATGGCTACAATTACAGACTTTGAAAAGTGAAAAGGGATTTCTTTCCATGGTCTGTAAACCAACAATTACAACAAAAGCATCCCATCCTGGTCATCTTTCCAAAGGCTAAATTGAGGGCCATTTCAGCGGAGTACTGTGGTATTTTCACTTTCGAAAGTACATAATCAAAGTTCAGTACAAATCAGTCATCTGAGGTCAATTGAAACTAGTCATTGCTCATCTGCCCTGAAAATTATCTTACTGCAAAATCAGAGGAATGATCAATTCAAACAACCCATTAACTTTCAGATGGATGGAGGTGAGCGGCCATGAAAATCTCCAGCTACATTAGACACTGAGAGCTCACAAAGCAGTTTTCAGACTGAAATTTTTAGGGCTTAGATAGGTAACTGAGATTTTTATCTGAAGCAAAAGTTTAAAAATAAGACTGAATCTTTTATGATTAACCTTTTAAGGCCCTGAAGTATTTTGTTAAACCAATACACTGAGATCCAGTGTCCCCTCAGAATGTCTGGAAGGCCATCATTCTGCACATGGATGAGCAAGCCATAGACAGGTGACCTGTTATAGCTGGAAAGGCCTTCATGGCCTAAAACCAAACAGACAGGGGACAAAAGACTGCATACTCACCATCTGAGGCACCCCAAAAATTACAACATTTGAGTACTGTGAAAAAGTAACCTAAAGAAGAAAAGGAAACAATTCATAGATTAATTTTTTAAAGCCAAACATCCAGCTGAACTTTTGTTTCAAAATGAGTAGCAATTTTACATTTCACCAAACAGTAGGTTTTCACAGAGTGGTCCCCTTTTAAATTTCATGGGAAAAAATACCATGTGCACACTTTCACTCATTTTAATTCAATCCATCAATTTTCCAAAAGCTTCCACATTAAGTCATCTCATCTCATCCTCACAGTAACTCCCCTCCACAAAGGGCCTGCCCCAGGGGTCGCCTGTCAGAAAGGCCAGTGACTCATCCAATTGTGGTAGACAGACAGGAGCAGAGCAAAGATGATGGGCCAGGTACAGAAGGTCAGCAGGGTGGAAAGCCCCCAGTGCCTAGCAACGGGGGATTGTAGGGTGGGATCTCCTCGCCAGCATAGCACTGGTCATGCAGTTTGAATCCCCTGACCTTTCCTCCCTAGAGATAACATCCAGGCCTCAGTTGTATTTCAGCTCCAGGACCAGAAAAGCAGCAAAACCAGACAATGCCATGGCTGAATGCCAAGCAATGCCAAGCAGGACCAGCTGCATTGGATAATGACCCTCTGTCCTGGTGCTGACCAATCAATCAGTATAGACCTAGCCCCTGAAAGGACACACCTGGAAAGCTGCTAAATACTCTATTGAGATCTTCCCCTGGGACCTCCCCTAAACTCTGCTCCCTTAAAACCCTTAGGATAGAGGACCCAGTGAGCTCTCCCTCCCTTCTCCCTTTCCTTCTCATTGTCCCAGGCAAGTTACCTTTACCTTCCTCACTTCTAAGCTCCAAGGGCCCTTCCTTTACCTCTATAGCTTGTTTCCTAAGCCCATTTCTTCTACCTCTGTGATTTTTCCAAATAAATGTTCTCTTATAGTTTGAGTCTTGGCTCTGAATTCTTTCCTAGCCAGAACTCAAATACCAAGTGGCTGAACCCAGGTGGTCTGACCCTACCAGTCTAACACCTAGTACCATTCCTGCTGCCACCAACACAATGACCATCTGGACCATCTGAGCCCCTGTTCCACACTTTCCTACTCTACTCTACGTACACCAAAATAGCTCTGCAAGAACTCGAGGGACTACCAGTTTATCTTGAACCATCCTTAAAATTCTAGTCCCATCCTCTTCTCTAAAATACTAAGTGAAAAATGCAATAAAATGGTCTTTAGTTGAAAAACTGGGGGGAAAAGTGCTTTGCCAGTCAAAATTCTTATTGCCCAATAAAAGTCATATTTACTCTACAGAGGGATCGTTTATGTATATATGGTATAAAAAATGCAAGCAAAACTCAAGTGAATTTTTATAAGCTACTGATGACACCATTACAATAGGAAATTCTTATTTAAGAAAAAGCACTTTATGGAGCATTCCTAAAGCAAAATTACAGGGCAAATTTTTTTAGAGTACAAGTAAACTTGGAAGTGTCTTGTACTTCATGACTATCAGGACAATCCGTGACAGCACGGCTGGTGGATTCTTTTTCTTTGCACCCATCTCTGACTTGCTCTAAATACACACACACACACACACACACACACATACACACAGAAAAATCTACTATTTACCAAGAACAACATTAATAAGTGAATGCCTATAAGATTTCCAAATGAGATCAAAAGTCTCATTTTGTAATAAATAGAAATGAGAACTTTTTTAATTGAGCAAATTCTTGGAATTCACATGATCTATCATGTCGTAAACCTTAAGCTTATACTCTAAAGTAGTCAATTTGCAAATCCATCCATTTAAAAAGTGTTCACATTTCATTATGCTAAAATACACACTTGTATTTTAATTATTTTTCTTTTAATACCTTTTTCAGTTTGCAGTCGTAAATTATGCATTATAAAGTTTCAGTTGGAATTTCCTAGGACTGTTCTCTCCACCTTACATACCTTCCACAAATCTGAAATATAAAATTTGGCCAAATGCTGTACCCCTTCTCGCCAAGCACGGTATCTGGAGTACCAAACTAGCCATGGGTTTAATTCATAGCCAACAGCTGTGAATCCTTCCTTTGCAGCTGCTATCACCTGCAGAAAGAGGCCGGTATTTATTCAAGATAAAAAGAAAAGCATCAACTTACCTGAGAAAGTGATATGAATATTTCCTATTTATGGTCTATAATCATAAAACGTCCAATCAAAAGGCACCTCCTTTGTTCAAGGTATATTTAAAGATAGATCTCTAAAGTTATGTAGCTTTGTAAACCAAATAATGCCAGCCAATTTTAACTCCGTTTTCACATTTTTGTCAAAGATGTCACCTGAAGCATGAGAACAGGTAGTCCAGTTTCCTTAAGACAACGATGTAATGAATTCTGGATTGGCCAAACCTCGGAGTCAGCCTAACAAAAAGTTGCGGAAAACCCAGTCTCTCTCCATCAGAAATAGCACACCAGCAGGCAAAACAATCGTACCTGAGAATGTACGGTGGGCTAGTTGTAATATGCAATAAAAATAACCTCTCGATAAAGAACCTGCAATTTTTACATATTTCCTTAGTATTTAAGATTGCTCACTCAAAACTGAAAGCAGGTGGAAGTAAACTGAGCCGAGCCGGAATAAAGCCAGCGCAGAATGCCACCGCCCACGTCAGGGCAGGGAGCGCGGGCTGCCCGGGTCTGTCGGTCTGTCCGCTCTTGGGGTCTTGGACCAGCTTCAAGGGGCGCTCCCGAAGGAGCTTCCCACCTCGGTAATCCCAGAGTAGACAGTGTTGCTCCTTGAGAAGAAATCATACAGGTACTATTCAAATATGTAAAGCATTCAAATCTGGATCTTAAAACGTCTTCCTAATTAGCATACACAGTCGTCCCTCGCCACGTAGTCCGCGGCTTCACCGCTTGAAAAACCCGACAAAGTGAAGCCTGGACGTCGAGCAGGCAGTGGCGAGGGACGACTGGACACTGATTTCTTAAAAACACATGACTCCTTTTAACCTCTTCCTGATGACTGCAGGTCAACATGAAACTGCAGGGCCTCTGTGCCAGGGGCTAGCGAAGAGCATCGTAGCCTGGTGTCCACAGGCAGTGTTTCCATAATACCAGCTTGACCACCACCTCCTTACTCCCAGCTCATCACTGACCGGAGGCCTGAGTCCTTAGGTGCTACCCTGTCTGTGGAGGAGCTCGGTCTGGGACGCCCGTTGGCCAGTCAGTGGCCTTGAGTAAGTAACACAGCTTCCCAGCTGGGTGGGGGTCAGAGTGAGCTGAGGTCACTAAAAGTCTGACCTTTTGAAAAGTGGGGGTTAATGCCATTCCCTATTTTAATTCTATGTTATCACATAGGGATTATACATGTGTAAGTAGAGATAAATGTAGAAGCAAACACATAATGTGAAACTCCATGATTTCACACGTTTCTTTTAGTTATGCCACCCCTACTGGCCCAAGTTTCTTCACAGGCAATTTCATAATTAACAATTAATTGTTCCTTTTTACCTGGCGTATCTACAGAGTACTTTCTCCTTTAAGAAAAAATTAAATCTGAGAAAATTACATTCCAAATTCATGCTGGAGGGTTTGATAGTTCAGCCAAACAAACACAAAGTAAAACACCTACTTTATTAAACTATCAGGTTTAGCAAGTCTTTGCATAAACCTCTTAAGCAATGTGAGAGAAAATTTTAACAATTCAGGCGCCAAACCTTAAAATCTTAGCATAACTCACAATCCGACCGTCACCACTACCAATGTCCACCACAGGTCCTCTTCTGCTTCGCAACATTGTCACGACATTTTCGATCTGCTTTGTAGTTGCAGGCACAAAAGGCAAGCAAACTTTTCGGAGGGCTGGTGTTAGAAATGGAGTGGCCACGGCATACACAGCCACCAGCGTCCCACCAGCAATCCCAGTAAGTAAGAAGCCCCAGCTGCTCTTCTTCAAACCACCGGCTTCACGACTTGTAGGTAGAACATACCCTGACTGACTTTCTTCTTTAAGTTTTTCTGGGAGTATACCTAGATTGAGAGCAAGCAGAAAATATAGGTAGCACCAAATCTGAAATTAAGTATTTCTCTACAATTCTTATTGACAAATAAACTCATGCTTTTTAAAGAAAGATAATTTAGCTGAATACAGTTTACATTACAAGTATAAGATTCCACAGAGTTCTAAATTCCATGAAGTAAACGAAGGTGTTTTAGAGAAAATTATTTAATACTAATGAAAAACTAAAATCTTTTCTTTCCAACATTTTATTTTTTGTCTCTAGGAGTCAACCTTAGAAAACAATGTATTCAAGGTTGCAGTTTGTCCCCGGCCCTGGTTGGTCGTGCGTGTGGCAGCCACTCGATGTGTCCCTTCACGTCGATGTTTCTCTCTCTCTCTCCCTTCCTCTCTCTCCCTCCCACTCTATCTGTACAAAAAATGGAAAAATGTCCTCGGGTGAGGATAAAAAAAAAAAGAAAAAGAAAACAATGTATTCAAGATTATTTGGAATTTTACAAATTTAATATCCAAAATACAATGTTACCATGAACTCCATATTCTTATGGTTCAGAACAAAGCCTCATAAACAAATAAGCATGTAAAATATCTAATTATTACCCTATTTCAAAGAGGATGAAAGGATTTCACATTAAAACTGGTCAGGTATCTCTAATCCAGTTGCAAATACAAAAGTTGAAGTAATACAGGAGACAAGAATCGGGTTTTACTAAAAATCTTAAGTATGGTAATAATGATATTTTTAAAGCAGATCTAAAAAGAACAAAAAATAAAATCATCATTTCAATGCTATCACAAATATGGAATAAAGCAAAAAAAATTTCCAATCACTGATTAGGGAGAAATGACTAGTATCTTAAATATCCTCCCCTTGGATTTTATCCTTTAAAACACATTCTTAAGATCTCAAGTTTTTCAGATCAAATTGATTTGAAATTAATTTTGAAGTTAACAACTAGCATAGTTGTTAACAGCATGAGCCTGCCAAGGAAGGCTTGGACCCCGGCTGACATCTTGCTAAGCCACATACCTTACTAAGTGTGACCCTTCACTTCTCTGAACCTTGTTTACCTCATCTGCAAAGTGGGGACGCCAGGTCATTGTGCGAAAGAAATGAGTGGGTGCAGCTAAAGCACTCAGAACAGTGCCTGAACCCCACAGGGAACAAGACCCTCCTGCCCTGAAGCAGTGACCTGTCTACCTGAGGAGCTAAGACCAAAAACAGAATCTGTAGGAAACAGGGAGAGCAAGAGGGAGGGAGAACAACAGATTTTTGTCATTTGAAGGCATTAATGTTCAGTTTCAGTAATTAGCAAGCTATTCAAAGGGTCCACTGGCCCTGGCTAATTTGGCTCAGGGGTTAGAGTGTCTGCCTGTGGACCAGAGAGACCCAGGCTCGGTTCCCGCTAAGGGCACGTACCTTGGTTGCAGTTTGTCCCTGGCCCTGGTTGGGGTTGGGTGGGTGGCAGCCAGTCGATGTGTGTGTGTCTCTCTCTCTCTGTTCCTCCCTTTCTCCCTCCTGCCCTATCTGAAGATAAATGCAAAAATGTCCTTGGATGAGGATAAAAATAAAATAAAATAATTTTTTTTAAAAAGGCCCATTGCCCGGCAGGTGTGGCTCAGTGCTTGAGCCATCGACCCATGCACCAAGAGGTCGCCAGTTCTATTCCTGGTCAGGGCACATGCCCAGGTTGTGGGCCTGGTCCCCAGTGCGGGACATGCAGGAGGCGGCCAATTGATGTTTCTATCTCTCTCTCTCTCTCACTCTCTCCTTTCCTCCTTCTCTAAAATCAATAAAGAAAAAAATTAAATTAAATTAAAAAATTTTTTAAAAGGCCCATTGGATTAGTGTCCTATATTGCCACAAACTTATTGGATTAAAACAACACATTTATTATCATGCAGTTCTGGAGGTCAACTGTCTGAGATGGGTTTGCTTGCCTTTTCCTGCTTCTGAAGGCTGCTCACATTCCTTAACCAGTGGCCCATGTCACTTCCACTTCTGCTTTCATCATGACATCTTCTCTGACCCTCCTGCCTCTCTTTCCTTTATAGGGATCCTTGTGATTATCCTGGACCCACAGATAATCCAGGATAATTTCCCCATCTCGAAGTCCTTAAGACCATCTGCAAAAATCTCTCAGATAACATATTCACAGGTTCTGGGAATTAGGACATAAACCTATTTGGGAAGGTCATTATTCCACCTACCATAGTCATGAAATGTGGTGATCTGTTACAATTTTGGGGGGTACAAATATGAGCATAGGACACACTAAATCTAGTTCACAGCAGTGAGACCCTGCTCCAGAGTAGCTGACCAACCATCAGTACCTCCCACAAAATGGAGCTTTGTCCTTCTTGATGTCTGAGGTCCCCTAAAGTGAACTTTAAAACCAACTTAGAAAGAGAAACAACAAAAGCCTACTGCTGGTGCTAGGATGGAGGTAAAATAAAAGTAAAGTTTAGGAAGGTGATGGTTTCAATAGGAAGCACTAGTTTTAAATACATTGCCAGTTATAATTTTCAGCAGTGTATGGAGGATTTTACATGCTATAGTAGTCATGCATTTGATTATTTTTTAAATATTCAGAGCATATCCATCACGCCTTGTGTAAAATTATCCCATGGGTATCCCAATTGTACAGCACAGTGGCCAAGAGGATTTGAGTCACATAGTTCTAGAGTCTCAGAACTTAACTAGTTGGTTGACATTAAGTAAGTTGTAGTTAAGGCTGTTTCCTCACCTGTAAGATTTAGAAATAATACTATCACTTGACTTGGGGTGATAAACATACAATACAGTGTACAGATGATGTGTTGTGAAATTGTGTACCTCAAACCTGTATAATTTTGTTAACCAGTGTCACTACAATAAATTCAATAAAAAGGAAAAAATTAATATTTTTAATTTTAAAAATAAAAAAAGAAATAAGATCCTCATAGGGTTATTGAATCAGCTAAATAAATAATGCATATAAAGCCTAAAAGACTAAGTGATGACTATTAGCTGCTATTAATAGTCTCAATACCATCATGGGAGGCTGTGAGGGGATCAATAATTTTTAACTTTCTTGAGATGTAATTCGTACACCATACGATTTAATGTGTACAATTCAAAGGTTTTTAGTATACTCATTAATATGTCACAGTCAATTTTAGGACATTTCAACACCTCAAGAAGAAACCCCCTAACCTTGAATTACCACCTCTCTGTGCTCCCCCTCACTCCCTCGCCCTAAGCAATCACTAACCTACTGTCTCTATAGAATTCCTATTCTGGACTTTCACAGCAGTGAAATCACATGGTATGTGATCTTTTGTGATGGGCCTCTTTCACTTAGCATAATGTTTTTGAGATTCATCCATGTTGTACCACACATCAGCATTTTATTCCCTTTTATGGACAAATAATATTCCATCGTATGGATATAACATTGTTTGTTCATTAGTAATGGACAGTTTCTCTAGTCAGCATACGCCAGTAGACAGTTAACTAGACAACCCAAGTTCTAATTCACCTGTGTAGAGTTGTACCCTTCAATTTAACTAGCAAAGATAGAATAAAAAGCTCCTGTCTTCAGGGCTTCCCATCGAACCTGTGTGCATGGCAGGGGCCACTTGAGACATACACAAGGCAGGTTGTAAGAAATGCTGTAAGGTGTACAAAATGCTGTGGGAATACAGAGGGAGGTGGAGGAAAGATTGATTCTAGTGATGGAACCAGGAAGGTGTTGACAGACAGAATTTGAGCTGTGCATAAGGTTGCTGAGAAGCAGCCTTAGAACTAAGGCATAGAAGATGGGGGAACCATTGGCTGAGCAGAATGGTATAGCATGGGAAGGCAAACGTGAGACCTGTATGGCAGGCTAAATGCATATTTTATTCATGTGCACTGGGATAAAAAATTTTTTAACAAAGTCACTATATTTGTGTTTTTAAGAAAGGCAACATAAATCACTGAATTTCTTATCATAAGTTTTTACACCCCAGCTCGATTAACTTTACAAAAATGTGTATGAGCTTTTGAAGTTATTATGTAAATCCAATATATGACTATATTGTTACCCTCATTCAATAATAAAATGAGTGATTTTTATCAGTGAAACCTAGTCCCTAAGATTCAAAACTAAAATCAAGACTGTTTCTACAAATTCCTAATCCTTTTAATGGAACACACTTAGAATCATAAGACTATTTGTTATGATATAAATAAATAAATGACAAAGACTTCTGTCGCCTGTGCTCTTTGGAATACTGAGCCATTCCATTAGATAACAGATATGGTGGCCACTGGCTATTTTTGTTGAGCACTTGGAGTTAGTTCTTGAAAGCGAAGGACTTGAAAGAGATGAACTTCTGTTGTCCCCATGCTTGTCTAGTTACTGACTTCTGGTAATGGTTGAAAAATCTCAATTTTCAGGAACAGACCTGGGTCACCTAAAGCTAGAAGCTGTGACTGATATGCACAAAAAAAGTAGACAGGGTTCTCATTCAAGTTCAAATGAAGGGAAAGAGGCCAGAAAGAACAAGCTGTTTGGAACTGTCACCTACCACATGTGTTTAAAGTGGGGTTTATATTTAAGGGCTACTGTGTACTTGTATTCACATACCAGATGAAAAATTACAGCATATGTTTTATGTCCCTTTACATATTTTTGGTCCCTTAAAAAGCCTTGCTTATACTGGTCCAATGTCATTTGTGTCTTTTTGATATACAGCACCTAATGATACCAGGAAAAACCTCCCAACCTCCCCACCTTCCTACCCCCAATGTTTTGACAGGAATTAAAAATAAAGTACAGAGAGAACATCATCAGACATTCCCTATACTTCACAACAATCTAATGAGCCAAAGGAATCTCAGAATTCACCATTTTGAGTAAGAAAATGCTGACTTGGCCAAGTTAAACTGAATTGAGACCTGACTCCGAAATCTAATGTCCTTAGATCATCACTCTGTCTTGAAAATAAAAAGGCCAAGCATTAGGAGAGGTTAAATGATCACAACCCTCCAGTGACAAAGCCAGTTCTTGACTTCCAGGCCAGGGTTAACCATGTTATAACGCATGCATTCATTTCAACATTTGAGTAATCCAATAAAAACTAGGAATAATACAACAGGGGTAAGTCTGTGTTCTTTGGCAGTTGGGGTGCAGGAAGGCTGGAAACCCGTAACAAATAAGTAGCCCACAAAATATTTGGTCATGATCAGTGCTGTAAAGAAAAGGCAATGTAAGGGATTTAGAAGACCAGGTACTACTTAGTTAGGATTTCCAGGCAGCACAACGCAGGGCTTCACAGTGGGACCCTTAGCTCAAGGTTGTGTAATTTTGCTTCTTACTAGCTACTTGTATAACGTTGGGCAAATTATTAGGCCATTTGCGCAAAATGGGTATTTCTTTTTTAGTGTTTTTATGGACTTTTTAGAGAGAGAGAGATAGAAACATCATGGGCTGCCTCCAGCATGCCCCCACTAGGGATGGAGCCTGCACCCTAGCAGGCGCCCTGACCGGGAATTCTGGGACCTCTCAGTCCATGGGAGGAGTCCCAATCCACTGAGCCACACCAGCTGGGCAAAATCGGCATTTCTTTAATACTTAAACAGAATTTGCTAAAAGCCAGACACTGTTCTCCCAGAATTTGTACAGCAGCTGTGTAAGGGACATACTACAATATGATTGCCATTTTTGCAGACAAGGAAACTGTGACCCAGAAAGGATTCAAGTCACTGCCCCAAAGCCAGCAAAACGGCAGGGCTGGTTCACACCTAGTGTGACTCCAGTACCCATGTCACATTAAGATCGTGACAAGCACTAGCTGACTTCTTCACCCTAGAGTGTTTAGAACAGTTCCTAGCAAGTAGATACCAGTACCAGCAAACTCACGTGCAGCCCACGACCCCAACGGGGCACTGGAGCAAGCAAGCCCCAAAGGGAGTAGGGGCGCGGGGAGCCTGAGCACTGTGCACCCAATGCCAGACAGTGAAAAACAGCTCTAGGGACTCCCACTCCCGCCCGCACCCGACAAGGACGGGCTACGTGGAGGAGACCCCAGCAGACAGCGAGCCTACGCTGTGCTTGTACACAACGTAGCACCCAAGGAGCCCGCCAAGCCCAGCCAACCTCACCTCCTCCTCCTTCCATCGCGAGACTTCCGGCAGAGAGGGAAAAAAAAAAACAAAAAAAACCCGAAAAAGGATTCTACCATCTTTTTGGAGCCGGGGTAGAAAGGAGGGAGAAAAAATGCTCTAAGTAAATGAGTGCTTTGTTGGGATCCACTATCAAAAAACTCTCAATTGTATAACTTCACAAAATGACTAAATTCTGCCTGCTCTTGGCTTCTGGGTCCTAAAGTTCCCTTCAGTGACTTCGAACTCCCCCCACCCCCACGGCTTCCTAGATGATAGAAGTTTCCGAAAGCCGCCGATTCCAGAAAGTACTGTCTGGCGTTAAACTAGTCTCAAGTGAAAAATAAGTCTCACGCAGGTTGTGCCGCGCATGCGCGAGCTGTTAAGTCCTCTCGCGAGCGGAAGGTGAGTTCTCGGTTCCGGAGTGGTCTCCACCGGCTTCGGGAAAGTAACTCCTGTGGCTGCGCTATGGCGTCCGTGGGGACTCTCGCCTTCGATGAATATGGGCGCCCTTTCCTCATCATCAAGGATCAGGACCGCAAGACTCGTCTTATGGGACTGGAGGCTCTCAAGGTAACGGGACCGGGGCACACTGGCAGTGGGATGAGAGGAGGCGGCCGAGCCCAGTGGCTCTGCGCCTGCGCAAGCTTAGGACCTGTTCTGCCATGTGCTGCGCGGAAAGGCCGAGGGAATTTCTTTCGAGTCCAGTCCCGCACCCCGCTGTTAGGGCTCGGGAGGGGCCGAGTAAGCCTTTAAGGTTTAGGGTGAGCTGCAAGCGCCCTGTAGAGTTGGGTAGGACAGCTTTAAGTCACAGGCGGTCCAACCGCGTCTTGCTCGGTCCTCCAGCCTGGTAGCCGTACGGCCCAGTATTTTCGTCAGTTAGATGCAGAGAAAGTATTCTCAGGTCACCTGAACGTTTAAAAGGCTGCTGCTTAACCCTCAGTTAGTGTACCTGCAACAGCCTTAGAAAAAATGGAGGTTCATTTTGTCACTTCCTAAAGGCTTGGTCATTTACAAAGTATTTCATGTTTTGGTGTCCATGGGCATGGCATTTTTCTGGATGCAGTGTCGTAAAAAATTTTAAGCAGACCCTTAAGGAAGAAAATACTGCCGTAACGTTGAGAAATGGACACCACGAACCAAAATACAAGGTTGTGTGTGACCAGAATCACCAGTTACTGGGGAGGATGCAGATTAAAGTTGGAGAGTGCCCTTTCAGATGTTTGATAGAGGTGGCTGTTGATCAGGGATGGAGTCATGTTTTGAATGAGATTGAGCCAGCATCCTGGAGAAGGGAAACAGTAAAAGCAAAGGCCTGGGCAGGAAATGGAATGGTACGTTGTTGGGGGAGAGCGCACCCTGATTTTGACTTTTGACAGGCACAGTCTGCTTTAAGTTACACTAATTTCCAAAGATGGAAGCCCTTGAATGCCCCCACAGTCAAGATATTATCTCGGGGGAAGGAGGGAGTTTTGAGCAGTCACAACTTAAGTAGAACTACCTTAGGAAGTAGAGTTTGGGCTGGACTGAAGGGAATTAGGAAGACCAGGGAGTCAAATACACCATTGCAGGAGTCCAGGTAAGGACAGGTCATCTGAGCACATTGAAAGTACAGAAGAAGGGAACCTTTGAGTGGACACTGACTTCAAAGTTTCTTATAAAGTGAAGTAATCCGTGACATAAGTAATCCAAGGACATTCCATAGACCTTGCCACTGGGTCTGAGGTGTCCCTGTTCACTTAATGTCTTGAGGTTTTACTTATATTCAGAAACAGTATGGCCCTTCCATAGACTGTTTGCTTTAGGACAAGTTACACAACCTCTCTGAACCTCTTCTCAGTGGGGATAATATACCTCTGTCAGACTGAGAGTGAGAATTAAATGGAGTAACCTAAGGAGTGACCACACAGTGTTTGATTCATGGCAGATACTCAGGCCCACTTGTAGTACATATTCAACTCCATTTTTCACTGAAGGACCAGCAGAGAAAGTAACATTCAGCACATGCACCCAATAAAACAGTACAATAGAAGCTATAGTTTTGCATCGGCCACTGTGTTAAGTACGTTCATTATTTCATACTCATACTAATCCTCATACTTTGACACAGGTGTTATTTTATAGAATTGGAAACTTGGCCCAGAGCAGTTAAGTAATTGCTGAAGGTCACAGAGCTAGTGAAGAACCGGGCTATGGTAGTAGCCCACCTTTCTCTGACTCCAAAACCAGTGGTCCAGACCTGGGTTCTCAGTCTTGGCATTGTAACATTTTGGGCCAAATTATTCTTTGTGGTGAACACGCTCTGTGTAGGATGTTTAACAGCATCCCTGTCTGGCCTCTGTCTCTCTCACTGCCAATTTGACAACCAAAAATGTCTCCAGGCATTGCCAAATGTCTCCTGCGGGCAAAAGTCCCCTGAAACCTCTCTTTGATGATTATCCTTTAAAATTTTCATTATACAGACTTATAGGCCAAGTATATTTTAAGGATCACAACATTTTCATAGATCTAATTAAGTTTGTGTCTTGTTACCTGCCAGATGGAGTGACCAGGGAAGGAAGGCCTCATGGAATATGTGCATTTGAACTACTTTAAAAGTTGGTCAGTGTTTTGGTGGGTAGTGAGAGGGCCTTTTGTGTGTCCATAGTTCAGGGGTCAGAGGACATGTTTAGGGGACAGGCATAGACCATCCTCATTAGAAGGGAACTAAGTCTCAGATTTGTGGAGGGCTTTGAAAAGCTGAAGCTTTTAGACATGCATGTTGAGGCATTGGGTGGGAGGCATTTAAGATTTGGATACTGATAAGCGATGGAAAAGTAGATGGGTGTAGAATGAGTCTGAAGGATAGGAGGTGAGGTAAGAAACCCTGGATTTCTGTAGTGTGCTGTGGATCTAGGTTAGGTTGTGACAGCAAGAATAGAGAGGAAACAAGACATGGAAGAAAAATTTACTTAATTATGTGTGGAAACAGGAATGGATTATTTCAGGCTTCCATTTCTTTCAGTATTGGTACCCTTGGCAGGTGACAAGCAAAGATGACTCTTTGTGTATGAGTTATATGTAGGCTGGGCCATTGAGAAGAAGAGTATATTTCTGCAATAAACCACCATGTGAGCATTCAAGGTGCTGTATCTTTACGACTAGACTCTCACATGAAGTTATCATTGCAGATTGATTTTATACTCAATCAGCTGTATGGTTTAAACTATTAAAATTATATGTAACTTGCCCTCGCTGATTTGGCTCAGTGGTTGGATCATCAGCCTGTGGACCAGAGAGTCCTGGGTTCGGTTCCCGCTAGGGGCACATACCAAAAAAAAAAAAATTATATGTAACTTGAATATTTGCTTTTTTCTGTTTTGTTTAGTCTCATATAATGGCAGCAAAGGCGGTAGCAAATACAATGAGAACATCGCTTGGACCAAATGGTAAGAGACTAACATTCTAAGTTTTTTAACACAAGTTTTAAGTCAGAAACTAGTCAATAAAACCTCTTTATAGAAGAGGAGAATAGAGGGGGCCATCCTACACCCCTAATGGAGCCCAAATTTTGATGTATTCTATACTCTAAACATGGTTATAGTCATATGTGTACAATTTTAGGTCAGATTTTTTTATTTCCATGTAACATCATTTCATTAGCATTTTTCAAAGCGTGTGTATGTGTGACGTGCTTTTGAGTCAGCTCTGACTCCTGGCAACACTATGGACAGAGAGTTGTCCACAATGTCCTGTCCTCTCCTGCCCTGCTCAGCTCCTGTAGACTTATGCCTATGGCTTCTTTTATGGAGTCATTCCACCTCATGTTCAGTCTTTCTTTTTTCCTGCTGTCTTCTATTTATCCACCATTTTTGTCTTTTGCAAAGAAATCTGCTTTCTGGTGACATGCCCAAAGTAGGAACAACTGCAGCTATATTTCAAGGTTAATTTGCTTGAGGACCCATTCATCTTTCTGGTTGTCCAAGGTATCCGTAGGGGTCTCCTCTAACACCATATTTCAAATGATTCCGTTTTTTTCCTATCAGCCTTCTTCACTGTCCAACTTTTGCATCTGTACATGGTAACTGAGAATGCAAGAGTGTAAATAAATGATTTTAACTTTGGTCTCTAAAGACCCATCTTTGCTCTTGGTGATCTTTCTTAATTCTTACATTGCTGCCCTTCCTAGTTTCAACTTGCTCTTGATTTCTTGGCTGAGTCTCCGTTTGCATTGATGACTGGGCTGAGGTAAGCAAAATCTTTAACAATTTTAACGTCTTCATTGTCTATGATAAGGGTGTACATTTCTTCTCTGGTCATGATTTTTGTTTTCTTGATGTTCAAATGCAGCCCTGCTTTGGCACTTTCTTCTTTCAGTTTCATCAGAAGTCTTTTCAAGTCATTGCTACTTTCTGCCAGTAAGATGGTGTCTTACTACATATCTTAAGTTAATAATATTTCTTCTACCAATTTTCACTCCTCCTTCCTCTGAATCTTACCCAGTTCTGTGTGCAGATTAAACAAATACGGAGATAAAATGCACCCTTGTCTGACACCTTTGCCCATAGGAAACCATTCTGTCTCTCCATAGTCTTTCCTGACAGCAGCTTCCTTTTCACAATACAAGTTATGCGTCAGGATAATCGAGTGCTAAGGCATGCCTGTTTCTTTCAGAGCAACTCACAGCTTTTAATGATCAATGCAGTCAAAAGCTTTACTGTAGTCTAAAACATAGAGTAGCCTTCTGAAATTCTTTGGAGCACTCCAGTATTCAGCGGGTGCCCAAATTAGATCTCAGGAGCCTGTTTTCTGATCCAGCTTGAACATCCAGCATTTCCTGCTCTGTATAGGGTAGAAGCCTTTGCTGCATCACCCTACACATGACTGCTTGTGTGGGAAATTAGAGCAATAGTCCTGTAGTTACTGCACTCTCTTTCTTGAACACTGGGATACTTAGTGTTTCCAGTCTGTAGGCTATTGTTTTGTTTTCCATGTTGACATATTGTTTTTAGGATTTTGACAGATTCGGTCTCTGGCTTGAAATA